TGTTCCCCATTCTCCTCAACCCCTATACCTGTCCCACCCTCCTCGACCGCTGGCACCTGTGGTCTCACCTCCTCAACACCTACACCTGTCTCCACCCTCCTCAGATACACTGTCCCACCCTCCCACACCTACACTTCGCACTCACCACGACCTACCCTGTCCTCTACCCTCCTCAGCACCTCAGATGCTCATCACTTCAGCGACCTATGACTCTCCTGATCCATCGACACTCTTCACTCTCTCAGTCCTACACCTGGCTCCACCATCCTCATCCTGAACCTGGCCGCCCCTAGCACCCTGCACCTGTCTCCATGCCCCTCATCCTACACCGCTTGTTTTTTGTTTTTTTAAACAGAGCCTTTGTCCCGCAGGCTAGAGTGATGCCCGTGCCGGTCCACCAGCCTACGCGAAGCAACAAACCTGGCTCCAAGCGATCCTTCCTGCCTAGCTCAGAGCTGGACTACAGGCATTGGCCGCCACCCAGCGGCTTTCTGACTAGTTAGTTGGCCATAATTTCTTTTCTATTATAGTAGGGACGGGGTCTCGCTCTTGCTCAGGCTGGTTTAGAACTCCTGACCTTGAGCAATCCGCCTGCCTCAGCCTCCCAGAGTGCTAGGATCACAGGCGTGAGCCGTTATGTACAGTTTTGATTCTTCTCTAAATGCATTTGCGGTCTAAATCACAGTCCAAAATTGCCTTTTCCTTCATGGAAATCATGGAAAAGACTCAGACAAGTTCTCTTGAATACTGATTTCTGATGACTTTAAGATCAATGGAGTAAGTAACAATTTCCAGAACTCTAACCAAGAAACTGGTGGATCCATGGAACCGCCAACCGCGATCAGCAGAGCAACAATTGATTACATGAGCCTAAACAACTGATGAAAATACTGTGTTTATAACTTTTTATTCAAAATCTTGTCAGTTCTTTTTTTTTCAACGCATTTATGTTATTAGCTTTATCTGCCATTATTGGTTTCTTTGTTCATGAATATGAAAGTCGTTATATGTAGTTTATTTTCAAAATCACTCAATTCTTACATTACACACTGGCTTTTGTTTTGTAGGAAGTAGGGCACTTAGAACAAAGAGCAAAGAAACAGAACCAGTGCTACTCTCGCATTTTATAGGTGAGAGAGACAAACTGGCTTGTGAGAGTCACAGCGTGGCAGAGCTGTACAGCCGCCTCCTGACTCCTAGTGCTGTTTGTTCTGAGTCACACTACCCCTCCTCGAACAGACATTTACTGAGCGCCTGTGTATTAGGCATTCGACAGCAGTGTGTTACCTATTCGGTATGCCTAATGTTGATTATTGGCTGCTTTCCTCCCCAATATTTTTCACTCGACCACTTTTTAAATGGCCTTTAGATTCAGAGTTAAAGTGGAAAAGGCTTGGTGTCAGGCACTGAGTGGCGTGACCGCGGGTCGCCACTGGTCCTATAGTGGCGATCGAAAAGGGCAGTGACGCCTTCTGACCAAGAGAGTGACTCCGGATAATCCGGGTGTGTAGCGAGCCAGAGAGGCGTGGGGCCGGGTCTCCAGGAGACGACGCCTTTGGCCTTCCAGTGGCCCCACTGGTCAGGGTTACCGGAGGAAACTTCTCCTGTGCACGATGCCTGTGCATTTGGCTCTGATGCATGGTGACTGAGGGTCTAAGCTGGCATCCGGCCAGGTCTCCAGCCCTCTCGTTCTCCACTCCGGGTTTATCCTTCCTTCCGAGTCTCCAGCTGCCGGGAGGCATTTCTACCTGGGAAACGACTGTCCCCGAAAGGGACACTCCCATTATCGCCGTTGGCCTAGAGTCCATGGCTACAGCCTTTCTCCGCCCCTGACCTGAGCCCTCTTGTCAGTTCTTTATTTTAATGTTTTGTTTTCCAGATTTAAGGAAACTTTTTCTCCTAAGCCATCCACAGTTTCCAACAATTGGGCAAAGTATACTTTTATGAACAAAATTTGAAACATTTACCTTTGCTCCCTACCCAATCCCCTCAGAATTGGAAACTATTCATGAGTATTTTTTATTTATATGGTAAGTAGTTGTTGAGCATACGTTCAATAGGAATCTGCTCTCTCTCTCTCTCTTTTTTTTTTTTTTTTTTTGAGGTAGAGTCTCACTCTGTTGCCCGGGCTAGAGTGCCGTGGTGTCAGCCTAGCTCACAGCAACCTCAAACTCCTGGGCTCAAGTGATCCTCCTGCCTCAGCCTCCCGAGTAGCTGGGAGTACAGGCATGCGCCACCATGCCCGGCTAGTTTTTTCTATATATTTTTAGTTGGCCAATTAATTTTAATTTCTATTCTTTTTTTTTTTTTTTTAGTAGAGATGGGGGTCTCGATCTTGCTCAGGCTAGTTTCGAACTCCTGACCTTGAGTGATCCTCCCGCCTCGGCCTCCCAGAGTGCTAGGATTATAGGTGTGAGCCACCACACCTGGCCAGAATCTGCTCTCTTGATAAACAGGATACAATTGGAAATATTGATTATATTAACAAGGATTTGACTGGGATGTCACATGTAAAATTATTTATGTGTACTGCAGACAAAGTCTGAATTGCCTTGATTTGGCTTCCTAACCTTAAAGAGGTTTTTAAATCTGAGATTCCTGTGTGGCCAATTGTTAGCCTTGCCGTACTTATGTAGATAATCAGGCCAAATTTGGTGAGGCTAAACTTATTGTACAACAAATTGGCCTTATTTTTTAATATCTTTGGGGAAAATGAGGGCAACAGCAGAGAAAAATGATACTTCAAAAGAAAAGTTATTTCAGAAGAAAAGCTATAGCTCACCTGTTAGTGGACTACAGCCCTGTGTTCACTGTTCTGGAGTTTTTATCACCTGCCTGTAGACTGGACCGAATCCTGAACTCTCGCAGTTTCCCCTGGCTGCGCGCAGACACCCGGCCCTGCGTCTGGTCCAGTTCCCGGTGGTCGTTTGGTCCAATCAGCCGGCCAGCTTCAGGCTTCCTGGTTTGGAACGATCACGCAAACCGGGTTTATCGTGTCACTACTAATGTTGCTTTGCGTGGTCCTTTGCACACTTTGTACCTGTTACTGCCGCATCTCTGCAGAAGTACAACTCCTAACAGAACGGTGCCGGCCCCGCACCTTGAAATGACAGCCAGCACACACGGGACCGACGAGACTGAACTTGACAATGAACTCCAGGCAGACCTAGCCGAGAGCTACTCCTGCCACCCTCCTCGTTGCTTGAACACGGTCAAAAGAGCCTGGACGCTGACTCCCGGTTGTTAACACGGGGACAGGTCCCTCCTGGCGCTGAGGGGCAATCAGAACCTACCCACAGAATAGTGGGCCAGCAATGCTTTTGGGGAAAGGTCTTGATCAAAAGAGGGAAATGTGAAAGTTGTCAATATCAGGATGGAGTCGCATGTGTCAAACCCTAGCAAAGGTAGAGCAGCCGGGAGGTGAGGAGGGAGGGAGGGGGCTCGCGCACGCATGGCCGCGGCGAGAGCTGTTGCGAGGGGCTCTCACGCACGTGCGCCTGCAGCGAGGTCTTCTTCCAGGGCCTTCCCGGCTGCAGCCTGCTACGGCGGTCATGGTAGCGGGGTGTGCGGCAACGCTCGCCTGCCACGCCGTCTCCACCGTGAGCCAACGAGACTGGCCCCTGGAGCCAGCGTTCTCTTTGTCTCAGAACAACTTACACGCAGTCCCGTTTCCTTTATAAACGTCCCCTGCCTCAAGCTCCCCGAACGCGGCGTCTGCGTCTTGCCCACGGCCCGGCTGCACACCCCACGCCGCCGTCTTCTGCCCAGTCCTGAATAAACTCGTTATCTTTGGAGGATTTCTCTCTGTCCCTTATTCAGGTTGACACCTCACATTTACGAAGGGGCTTAAAAATGCAAAGTTCCTACCAAAGGATGACCTTGACCTCTGGGGAAGGGGGTCTTAGAGAAGCTTCCGGATCTGCCCGTGTGAGTTTCTCCATGTGGGGTTGGGAGGGCCCATCGCCAATGGGAATCTGTCTGGCAGAGCCGCCTACACCCACCCTCCACCTGGCCCCTCTCGCCCCTTGGCCTGTGGCATGCACTGTGGAGACCCAGGACTAGGCTGGGCCTCTGGTCCTTGCACCTGCTCCCCACCCCCTCCCAACTCCCAGCAGAGCCCCCCCTCCAGGGAGCACCGGAGGGGCCCCACAGACAGGCAGAGTCACCGGGGACTGCTGAAGCTCTTTATGCAGAATGGGAGAGGGGTGCAGGGGGGAGGGCAGTGGGGGTGGCGGGAAGGGTGCAGCCGGCCGGGCCCCGGGGGATCGTCCCACGTCCCTGCGCAGAGGAGCTGGGTGGTCTGCCCTGGGCGCCGGGGAGCCGAGGTGCCCCCTGACCTGGAAAGGAGTAGAGGGGTCGGTGAAGGCGGGAGGGGGGCAGGGGGACAGCAGGGTGGGGTCGCATGCTGGGCTCTCTGGGGTTGTGACATGGGGGACAGATGCCCGGTTCTTGCGGGCTGCAGAGCTGGCCCGATGGAAGGGCTCCCCACGACCAAAGACCTGCCGCCTGGGGGAGGCCTGTGGAGGGTGCGGGGGAGGGAATGGGGCCATGGCGGGCCCGGAGGGTGCCTGGCTCTGCCCACAGTGGATCCGGCGTGGATGCGTGGCCCTCGCGGCAGAGGGGCTCTCGGGCCCCAGGTGAGAGGACACCTCCAAGCCCTGTGAGCCTCGGGGAGTGTGCTGGGTGGGTGGCACACACAGGTGACGGCCTGAGGAGGGGCTGGGAGGACGCCACGCCTGATAGACCAGTGACTATGGCCCTGAGGCTTCCACCAGCGCCTGGGGCACAGGGAGCCAGACTTGGCCTGCTGTTCCCAAGTCACACAAACTGTGAACCCAGGCAATGGCTAGAGAAAAAAAAGAGAGTCCCCCAGTGTCTTGGGAATGACGGTTGGGACAGGCAGGATCTCAGAGCAGAGAAGGCGGGCTCCCTCCTGCCCCCGGGGGCATCGTGACCACGGTGGAACCCCAGTGCTCTTACTGCTGCAAGTGTCACTCACCCTAGTGTTGTCCAGGAGCGCAGCTTTCTGTGGAGACCGAGACAGACCCAGGGTGAGGAGACACGTGGACGGAGCCCAGACGCCGCCCCAGCCCCAGCTCAGATCTGCCCGTGACCCAGGCCCGAAGCAGGGTCCGGGCATCCCTGTGAGGGGACTCTTGGGTCCCGGGGGACCTAGGAGTACATGGAAGTACCCGGGGCCATGGGGGTACCCTGGAGGTCACAGAGAGACTTGGGGGTGCTCAGGGGACTTGGGCAGAGCTGTCCTCTCACCTATATTCAGGGGCACGAAGATGTCTTTCTCTGGGAATCCCCGATCCCGAGCGAATGCCTTAAATTCCTCCAGGGCCTCCGAGTTTATGTTGAGGTTCTTACCTGCAGGGGAGGTGGCCAGGGGAGCTGAGGTGGGGATCACCGCACGGCTCTGCAGAGAGCAGATGCTGCGAGGAGGTGGCCACCGCCCAGCCCACAGGTCCCCGGGTAGGGAGACAGTGGTGGGGGCTCCCTGAGCCACTGAGGGACCCTGGGGAACCTGGGTGGCTCCAGAGCTGCCCTGCAGGGTCACCCTGTTGGCACGGCGGAGCTCGGGAGCAGGAACTGGCCTGCCGGCAGCACACGGTGCTGGTGCCGGGACAGGCAGGCCGGGGTGAGCCTCTGCGGCTCATGCTCAAATGCGGCTCTGCTCGGAGGTGCGGACCTGCAGCCAGCAGATTCCAGAGCAGAAGTGGCGGGCAGGGGCTGAGACCGGGAGTAAGCAGGCCCTGGGGGGCGGGAAACTTACTCATGAGCTTGGCTACTCTGAATGCTTCCCCCTCGTACTGTCCTTCACTGTAAAACAGCAGGTGGTCCACGACGGAGGAGCTCTCCACGTGCAGGCGGCTCAGGCCCCCAACTGCGCAGGGCGGGGAGGAAGGGCACGCTGGCACCTAGCCCTGCGGTGCGGCTCCCGCCCGCCCTGCCTGCCGTGCCTCTCAGGATCCGACACCTGTTTCCAGGTGCACCAGCCTGGCCTGAGCCCAGGGCGTTGGGGTCCCCACATTCCAGAGCCACAGTACTGTGACAGCCCCTCCTGGGCAGGGTGGGGAGTCTGAGTGGAAGGCACCCGGGGGAAGGGCTCCCTCTCTAGGGGCACCGGCCGCCCCGTCTCTCCCAGGAGCCGGCGGGACTCACAGGCGCGGTATTCGCCAGGCACTTCGGTTTTCTCCAGGACGGTCTCTAGCTCTTGGCACTGACTGCTCATCCTGGGGAACAAGCCAGGAGGGCAGGGCCGCGGCCTCATGACCATTCGCACTTTGGGGGATGCACCAGGCCCTCCCCAGCCCCACCGCCAACCTTGGACCCACACAGGGGACCAGACTCTGACGCGGTCTGTCTCCCCTCCTCCCAGCGGAGCTGCCCTGGGGCCCCTTCCCTCCAGAGTCAGGGGCCTTAGGGACACCCCACACCAGTGAGACGGCGGCGGGAGGACCCGGCTCTGCAGCCTCTCCCGCCCCGACCCACCTGGTAAGAGCCCAGACCCGGGGACCTGGGAAACGGAGGACTCCTGGTGGAGCCGGGCGACACTCACATGGACGTGAAGGTGGCCTGCACGTCCCCGCTGCTCAGCACCGAGAATCTCATGGGGAACATCTTCGCCCATTTCCCCTTGTTTGTGACCATGGCCTTAACATACCACTTCCCTGACATCTGGAAAAGGTGTTTCCTTTGCAGCTGCTGCTGTTCCCTCCCCACGGTCCCTGCTGTTCCCTCCCCACGGTCCCTGCTGTCCCCTCCCCACTGTCCCTGCTGTCCCCTCCCCACTGTCCCTGCTGTCCCCTCTCCTCGGTCCCTGCTGTCCCCTCTCCACCATCCTTGCTGCCCTCTCACCACCGTCCCTGCTGTCCCCTCCCCACGGTCCCTGCTGTGCACGTGTCCCCCTGCAGCCCCCCCTCTGGTACAGACCGACCTACGGCCCCCACCATATGCCAACGCGGTCACCCCAGCCACCAGCCCCCCACCCTGCACAGCACTCACCCCCACCCATGCCCCACCCACCCCTACTGCCCACCTCCCATCTCCTCTCCCCCATCACCTTCCCCTGCACCTCTGTGCCTGACGCCATGGAGACCTGCTCTCTCCCACCCGGGGCCCTTCCAGAACATTCTCTCCGGGCCCACCCCCCTGCCCATGAGGGCAGATGACACAAGGAGGCCGTCCTGGAGCTCCCATCCGCCTGCTCTCTCTGGTCACAGCCTCGGGGAGAGGCAGGGTCAGAGCCCTAGCCTGGATCTGTCCCCGAGCACAGACAGAAGCCTGGGCTCCCTGGTGGGGGAGGGGCTTCCCCGCCAGCCCAGCCTCACGTCTGGCTCCTCTGAGGCCGGGGCGCCCTGGGCCTGCAGGGCCATGATCAGGCCCAGGCCAAGCGTCAGGAGCAGGGTCTTCATCTTGGGGTCTGCGCAGGGCTGCCCGACAGGTCACTGGCTGGGCTGGGAGAAGCTGTCCCTGCCCGCCAGTGGCCGCCCTTTATACCCAGAGGCTCGGGGTCCCGGGGAACTTGGCACAAAAGACCGCCCAGTCCCTTCCCACCATGGCCTTGGCCAACTGGCAGGGATGGTTGTCGTTTTGAATAACAGCTTATTAAGCCCTCAGGAACCAACACGCCCCTGTCCTCCCCAAGTACTAGCTCCCACCTTGGCCGCGTGGAGTAGGACGTGGGCCAAACAGGAAGAAGGAACATTTCCGCGCTGGGGAGTCCACGGGGGCGGGGGCAGGGGGGCCTGTGCTCCTCGCCCTCCCAGCCCCCCCGGCCCAGCTGTCCCACGAGGGGACAGCTGTCCCTGAGCCTCAGGGTGGTAGAGAAAGGCCTCAGGATTCGGACAGAGGCAGATGTTCCATCCAGCCCAGCCTGGGCCTGGCCCGCTCAGCCTCGGTGGTCCCCATGCGTGGGACATCCCCCAGGTTGTCCTGCCAGGGCCTGTTCCGTGATCGAGGCCTAGCTTCGGTGTCTCCTCTGCAGGGAGATCTCCCCAGACACACGGTGGAAATGTCACCCCCTCCCCTGTCAAGTCCCATTCCCGGCTTGCTTGTCTGCACAGTGCGTTCCAGCCTCCTGTGGCTGCTGCAGCGACCGACCACAAACTGGGTCTTAACAACCAGAAACTCCTTGTCTCTCAGTCAGGAAGGCCAGAGTCTGATATGACGGTGTGGGCACAGGGTCTCTCTGAAGGCTGCAGGGGGGACCCTTCCTGCCTCTTCCAGTGTCTGGTGGCCCCGAGCATCCCTCGGCTTGTGGCCGCATCACTGCACACGCTGCCTCTGTCTTCACGTGCCGCTCCCCCTGCCTTCCTGTGATAAGGACACCTGCTGTTGGGATTTAGGGCCCGCCCAGTCCAGGATGACCTTATCTAGAGATCCTTAACTTGATTACATCAGCAAAGACCCTTTCTCCTAATCAGCTCACATTCACAGAGCGGGACCCTGACACACAGGACGGGGACATTCACGTGAGCTCAGATAGAAGTGAGAATCCTGACCCCTCCCCGCGTCCCCGGAATCTTCCTGTGTGTCCTTGATTACTGTCCTCTTCCCTTGTTAGATTAAGCTACCTGAGAGTGGGGACTTGGTCCACGTGCTCACTTGGTCCCTGGGGGAGGAGCCAGCCTCTGAGAGGGGCTTGGTCATTGCTCTGTGGGCTCTGGCCTCCCTGTTGTTCTAGAGTCTTCCCGCTGTAGCCCTGTGGCCCTCTCACTCATGGGTGAGATGAGAGGCACAGACGCCAGAGACCAGACCTGGGTGTTTGCAGGGGCACCCTGCCCACCTGAGCCCCTGTAGCTCTCTGAGCTGGAAGTTCCCATTCTCTTTCCTGGGCCTGGGGTAGTTCCTGGGCTTAGAACATCTGTCCTGGGACGCAGGGCTGACCCCAGCAGGGCACCAGGAGCTGCAGGTGGATGCCAGGGCTCACAATGGCATCTTTGTGCCTCTCGGGCCCAGGGTTGGCCTCCCCCATACACGCTCAGTAACCCCAGGTGATGGAACTGTAGGTGTCAGACTGACCCAGTAATTACTCGCAGGAAGGCACTATCGAATGACACCCTGCTCTCGCCAGGTGGAGAGGGCCAGGGCCAGCACCCTCTCAGGCCAGAGACCAGCGGGCAGGTCCAAGCCAGGGCCAGCTCTGCTGGGGAAAGAACTTGCTGATGTGCATTGGCGGGCCAGAATGGTGACAGGGACATCAACCACACCAGGCTGATAAGAATCATTTCTCCACATCTGTTTATAGAGGATGTGCGTGTGTGTGTGTATGCGTGTGCGTGTGTGTTTGTGTGTGTGTATGTTGGAAAGGGCTGCACACATACGCAATAGAGCAAGATGGACAATTCGGGAACAAAGCCACACAGAAAGTGCCAATGCACTTTTTGACAAAGTTCAAAAGCAATTCAACGAACAAAGGGTAATCTTTTTCAACCAGCGGTGTCGGAACAAGCGCGAGTCCAAGGCCAACCAACCGTCCTTGACCTTGACGTAGGCTGCAGGCCTCCCTCACACAAGGTAGCTCGGCCGGGATCACAGTCTCAGTGCGATGCCAATCCACAAAACATTCAGAGGAAAAACAAAGGAGAGGTTGTCATGACTTGGGGTTAGGCAAAGAATTCTTAGGGCAGCAGAAGGATAACTCATTAAAGGAAAAGTAATGAACTGGATTTCATCAATGTTAAAAAATTTCTGTTCGGCAAAAGACACAGTTGAGAGAATTAAAAAAAAAAAAAAACAACCTACCTACTGGAAAAAGTCTTTGCAAATTACATAGGCCAACGAAAGAATATGTAAGGAAATTTCAAACTTCAAGATTAAGAAAGCAAACTACTGAATAGAAATAAACAAAATACTTAAACAGACACGTCACCGAAGAAGAAGTGTGGGTGGGGGCAACACAGGCGGGCTGGTGCAGGCCACCACCAGCCGTTAGGGAGATGCACATCAGAACCGTCAGGGACGCCACCGCCCAGCTAGTCGAATGGCAAGACATTTTTAAAAAGGACCTTCGCGATACTAAACGCTGGCAGGGATGTGGAGCAACTGGGACTCATACATTGCTGATGGGAATGCAAAATGGTGCAACTAATATTGGAAAACAGTTTGGCACTTTCTTATACATTTGGATATACCCATGCATAGGACCCAGCCATTTGTCTTGGAGGCAATTATGCAAAAATAGTGAAAATACAGGGTGACACTGGAGCTTGTACATAAACATCTATGGCAGTTCCATTCGTAATTGCTAAAATCTGGAAATAAATGCCTTCGCCGTCGGCAGGTCAAGCCGCACATCTTGTTATGCTGGACGAACCAAGCCAGTCTAGAAAGGCTGCCTACCGTGTGGTTCCATTTCTGCGGCATTCTAGAAAAGACGCAATCACAGAATCGGGTGGAAGGCTGGCGTCACCGGGGGTCAGGGCTAGGGGAAGGTGTGACTGTGAAGGGGGCAGGAGGGAGTTCTCAGGGTGACGGAGCCGCTCTGTGTGCTGGTCACGGTGGTGGCTGCGCAAATCTATGCATGCGCTAAAGCCCAAGGAACTGCACGTCGGAGAAACCTCCTTTTTCTATGTCGATATTAAAATTAAGTAATCGAAAAATCAAAACCAGACTGATGCTGAAAACAAAAGAATGCAAAAGGATGTGCCAGGAGAATATATTCTGAAAGAAGTTGTGTGGAAAATGAGGAGAAATGTTGGATGTGAACAGACAGAGAGCTCTGATGCCGACAGTAGGCATGGTCCCTGGGGGAGAAGTTGCCATCATCAAGTTGGCCACACCAAAAATATTTACAAACTCCAAATATACGAAGCAAAGACTAATTGAATTTAAGTGGAACTTCAGAAATCAACCACCAAAGTGAGATTCTCGAACAGAGATGTCTCAGAAACAGGTGGAGCAAGGAGACAAAAACTATGTGACCAATAAATTAGATCTAATAGGTGCTTACGGAGATATAAAACCTCCAAAGACCACAAATTCATTTCAAACACATATGAAATATCTGCAAAAATTTCTCAGCCATAGACCAGAAAGAAAAAAACCAACATATTCTAAGAATCGACAGTGTATATTCTTTGGGTTAAAAAGGAACCTGTGAACTATTTGGAACTGAGTATAATAATAGCAATCTGTATCAAAACATGTTGGATGTGGCTAAAGGTGTATTTTGTTGAAATTAGAGGAAATTATAGCCTTACAGGGATTAGAAACATAAAAAATAAAAATGAACGAACCAAGTGTTCAAATAAATACTAAAAGTAATAACGGCGCAAAACCAAGACGTGGAGAGGAGGGACAGTACACCAGTGAGAGCTGAGAAGCACACGGTCGGACACAGCAGGGACTGTCCTCAAAGCAAAGGCTGGCCCATTAGGAAGACTAAAAGAAAGCACCCCGCTCTGGAGAGGTGGTGAAGAACAGAGACCCAGGAGGCATAAATAAATGACATTAAGGATGGAAATAGAGGCAAAGCAAAATGTAAGCTGTTCAAAATCAGCAGGGGAGAGCATTCCGGGAGAGTGGCAGTTTGGAAACGTCCCAGGTGCCTTCTCCTCCCAAAGGCATGCAGCTCAGCTCCCAGGTGGGCTTCCAGGCAGCCTGCGAGTGAGGCCCGGGACCCAGGCAGGAGAGGGTCCCCTCACCTTCTGGGAGGGAGCGTGACCCACAGAGACCCGTAGACCTCTGCATGGAAGGCAGTGCCATGACATGCCCCAGTGCCCTGCTGGGCAGCCAGCCCCTGGCCCACCCCAGAGAGGGGCACACGGTCAAGGACCCCACAGCCAGAGGCTGGGAGGACACTGGCCTTTGCCCGGAGAGGGCTGGGGACAGAAGGGTTTCCTCCAGGAATCTTGGCAGAGGAGCCAGTGACTGCCAGACCTACGGCACTGGCAGGTCACCCCTGCGGGGGCCAAGCAGCCCTGGTACCCAGCAAAGGGAAGCAACCCCCAGAGAGCAAGGGCCGTCAGCTCACCACATGCAGGTGGCTCCTCCGGAGAACAAACTGCAGGAGGTGACAGAGGCCACCACGGATTTAAAAACCAATAGAATGCCACTTGAGGAGAGGTGACCACGGCACAAAATAAGACCAGGCCGGGAAACGCATGGCTTACAGATTGAGAAAGAGGGAGCCAGTGTCAGGAGAGAGAGAAAGCTCTGTGGGTTGAGACACAAGGCAAAGAGGAAGCCACGGCTCACAGCCAGAGCTGAGTGGGCGCCCGTGGGCAGGAAGAAGGGGCTGGGTGGGGGTCCACAGGGGCGTCTGTGCAGACGCTGGACTTCCGGGGGACGGAGGAGCCGGGAGGAGAGCAGGTGGCCAGACTAAGACAGGCACAATATTCTCCCTGGCGGAAGGAACGTCGGCGAGTATGAGTGTGCAGATCGAAAATGCACAACCAAGTCCAGGTAAGGCGGAGGAGAAAACTCACACAGC